GTTTACTAAATGAAGCTACCAGTTAACATAAAGAAAGCCAACCAAACATGGAGCACATTTCAAAGCAATGAGAAACAAGACTTGAGCACTGTGGGTATTTTCTTACAAGCATTACTGCAGAGGTAGTCAATTACAAAACATTAACAGGATTCAAAAACAGAGCTTATGGTATTCGCCCCCCGTGCACCTTCCCCCAACTTTTCGATCATGATTGATAACACAACTATCCAACCCTCCCCCATGCCAAGGTGCTAGGTGTCATTCTTGACTTGGACCTTACCTTTCTTCCCCATATCCAATCCCTATCCAAATCCTGCCCCCTTCAACTTTGTAACATCTCCAAAATACTCTCCTTCCTCACCAATGAAACCACAAAGCTGCTCATCCACTCACTTATCTCTCGTCTGGACTATTGCAACTCCCTCCTCATTGGCCTACCTCTACACAGCCTATACCCCCTTCAGTCTATCATGAATGCTGCTGCTAGACTCATCAACCTAACCAACCGCTCAGTGTCTGCAACCCCCCTCTGTCAATCCCTCCACTGACTTCCAGCCCCCTCTGTCAGTCAATCCATGTCCTGGCTTCAAATAGCCCAAAGGATAAAATTCAAAATATTAACAACCACTTACAAAGCCATCCACTACTCTGCCCCCTGCTATATCTCAAACCTTGTCTCAAAGTATCACCCTAACCGTCCCCTCTGCTCTTCCAAAGACCTCCTGCTTTCCAGCTCCTTTGTCAACTCCTCCCATGCTCGCCTCCAGGACTTCTCTAGAGTCTCTCCCATTCTCTGGAACGCCTTACCCCAACCTGTCCATCCATCTCCCACTCTGACTGCCTTTAGGCAACCACTAAAGACTCATCTCTTTAGGGAAGCCTATCCCACCTCAAACTAACCACTGAACTCTTTCTCAAACAATTCATCCCCACACCGCTACCTCCTCATGCATCACTTGCCCCTCCCTCTTAGATTGTAAGCCCTCAAGGGCAGGGCCCTCCTTATCATCTTGTCTTGAATTGCATTGTAATTATAATGTCTTCCCTATATTGTAAAGCGCTGTGCAAACTGTTGGCGCTATATAAATCCTGTATAATAATAAATTAATAATCCAGTCATATTCAATCTCTTTGCAACCATTGTTTGTATGTAATTAGTCATACACACCTAGATAATTGTAAGTGCACTGAGCAGGTTTAAATCATTCCATAATCTGATCTATGTTTAGCCAAGTTCGTATTCTCTAAAGAAGACAGTGACACAGGAGTAAGCATGGCAAAAAATATGTCAGGGCATTCTTCTTTTGTGAAGGGCTTGTACTGTGTTTTACTGAGATTTCCCTGTTTGTGTGTTGGGTAGTGATTTAGTTGGTATCCGCAGTTCCTTAGCATGGTTAACCTAATGTCTAAACCAGGTAATAGAGTATTTCATGTTGCAGCACACTGTGCCAACCACTGACTTGAAGAGCATAGAGGCCTGAAGCAAGAGGCCAAAGTCTGTAGTGCCTTAGGCTCCAAGCAAACTGCTAACTATGCAGTTAAAATACATATATCTGGCTTATCAGACAAATCCTTTCACCTACGTTAACAGTTCAGTATTGTGATCCAGCCACCTTTGCCAGATAGCATAGTCAGGGCTAAAACCTCACTTGGCTGTAGTGTTGCTCTATGTGTTGCAGACTGAAATCAACTGCTAGGAGGCACAGTTTTGGTAGAAGGGACTTGATTGTGCCCTCAAAAAAAACAAAAAACTATTTTCTGTTTCTCCTTGCATTTTTTTTTTTTTTGTATGTACATTTGGAAATGGCGCGTTTGGGGTGCCATTGAAATGAATGGCACTGCAACGCACCTCACCCAGCAGAAATTGTCAGGCCGAAACCAAAAATGACTTTTTTACCATTCTTTTATAAAAAATTTTTTATAAATGATTGCATTGTTAAAATAGCTTCAGCTGAGGAATGACAGCTGCCAGTGGCAAGATTTTGGAGACCACAACTGAATGTAAATACAGCAGGTAGTGGGCTTGTACAATAACCAGTCTGCTAGTGGCCATTTTAAATTGCAATAGCAGGCTGGCTGTTGCACCCGCCCACTGCTTGCTGTGCCCTCCTCCCAGATTGGAGGAGAGCGCTATGGGATCCAACCAACTAAGAACTATTCTCATTATCCATTATCGATTAGTTGGTTGCGGCCCTAGTACAATTTGCATAATGCAGACTTATCTATGGGGGTTCCCCATCTCCAGTGCTGACAAGTGTGCACTATTTCTTGCCACCATTGCCATATTCTCTGCTTTCTTTCACATCCGATGTCCTATTTCTGCCCTGTTGCCCGACCACTGATGATGTAACTACTGGGCAAGTGCATTGCAAGTACATGGCAAAACACGTGACTTCATCAGGGGTCTCAGGGGTTTTCCTTGAGACTTTTTATTGTCTATATTGCTTTTTTGTCTTTGTGTAGATATTTTATATGCCTCATTTGTTTGAAGGCTCATATATGTGACTCACTTATATATGTTTCAATTTATTAGATATGTATGATTATTAGCTCCTCACAATATTGTTTTTCACATTTTTTAGATATGTAGTTATATCCTTGGTAGCTCTTATTTCCACATTACACTTACTGGCGCTGATCACCTTTATTGTTTATGTTTGGTGTCTATTTATCCAACGTGACCCCGTCTTTTGTATTTTACCAAAGATTTGGGTAATACATGTTTCATAACATAATGTAGGGAAAACAGGTTTTTTTTTTTTTTAAACAAATTTGGTATGTTTTTCGCTATATAGTAAAAAATAAAAACCCCAGTGGTGATTAAATACCACCAAAAGAAAGCTCTATCTGTCCCCAAAAAATGGTATAAAATCCATTTCAGTACAGCGTTGCATGACGGAATAAATGTCAGTCAAGCAGTGCTGAATACTGAAAAATGGCCTGGACAGGAAGGTGGTATAAACACCCTCGTCAGTAAGTGGCTAAGGAAGGTATTTTTTTTTTCTTTTTTATCCAAATAATAAAAAAAAAAAAATCAGGCAACTAATTGATTATGAAAATAATCATTAGTTGCAGCCCTACATTGCACTGCTCCCCATACTACAGGTCTGCTTTAAAAGGAAACATGTTGTGAAATACGGGGGCTGCAATGGCTGAACGCTCATTTTCAATATTCTAAATGTCTGGCTGTCATACCAACCTTCTTATGTCAATACTTTAACTCACTGGAAGTATTCAGATAAAGATTACCAAGTTAGCTCAACTTTCCTGATGTGCATACTTGTTACAGGTCAGTGACTCAGAGCGCACTGAAGCCAGGGAGTCAGAATAACTGCCAGGGACCTAGAATTTTGGCTGAGGCACCTAGCTCAAAATACATTAGCAGCAGCTTCCCTGGTTTGTTTTCAGGAAAGGAATGAGCAACACGGCTTGGGCCAGCAACACACAGATAAAGCTGTTCCTTTACTTTCCCACTTTGTAAGGATGTTCAGAGTGCCGCCTCTCCCTCCTTAGTCAGACCTCTGCTCTGCATTAAATTGCAGAAAGTCAAAGCTCCAGTCATTATTGCCAAATTATTATTATTAAATCATTATGCCCAAAGGATAAAATTCAAAATATTAACAATGACTTACAAAGCCATCCACTACTCTGCCCCAGATATATCTCAAACCTTGACTTAAAGTATCACCCTAACCGTCCCCTCCGCTCTTCCAAAGACCTCCTGCTTTCCAGCTCCCTCGTCAACTCCTCCCATGCTCGCCTCCGGGACTTCTAGAGTCTCTGCCATCCTGTGGAGCTCTTTACCCCAACCTGTCCATCTATCTCCCACCTTGACTGCCTTTAGGCGATCCCTTAAAACTCATCTCTTAAGGGAAACCTATCCCACCTCAACCTAACCACTGAACCATCACGTTCTCAAACAATTCATCCCCACACAGCTACCTCCTCATGTATCACTTGTCCCTCCCTTTTAGATTGCAAGCCCTCTAGGGCAGGGCCCTCCTTACCATCTTATCTTGAATTGTATTGTAATTATAATGTATTCCCTATATTGTAAAGCGCTGCGCAAACTGTTGGCGCTATATAAATCCTGTATAATAATTATTATTATTATTATTCAGGTACAGGCAGTCCCCTGGTTACAAACAAGATAGGCTCTGTAGGTTTGTTCTCAAGTTGAATTTGTATGTAGGTTGGTACATTTTTTAAGTGCACCTCCAGTCGAAAAAAAAATTTTCGTCTTGGATAGCAGTTTTTTTTGCTGTGTGCGCCCCTGTTCAGAAGATTTTACCTCTCTGTCACTGTAACAAATTGGATTTGGAAAATTTTGGGTTGTCATGGAAACAAGGATTGGTGATAAAGCTTCAGTGGAGACACCTTTTTCCCCATGATCACTCTTACAGGAGTGAATTTCCCTTCCTAGGGGTAGATTTCCTCTCACTTATTGTTGTCTCAAGGACGGGAAGTGAGATTAAATCTTTCTAATGAGGATACAGATAGCAGTTAAAACCTCATAGTGACCCAGACGAAGAGGCGGGCACCACTCTTCTGCAGAGCCAACTTCCTGTAATGTACGTACAGGACTATGAACCAGACCCAAAAAGGTGGGCACTCCTCGTCCACACGAGTGCGGTAGCATTACAAGTACTGAAATGCTGCGCGGTACACTTTGGCTGCAGCCTGGGACCCCCTGCTGTACAGTAACAGCCTCCGTTTGTGAGTAGGGGTTGTATGTAAGTAACTCGGGGACTGTCTGTACTTCCTCTAGTAGTAAATAAAAATCACATTGAATCATTTGTAACAAACACAAAAGGAGACCAAATTGTGTTTTTGGTATCTGCCTGAAGATCGGCTTTAAATATAGGACTGACCACACTGGTGCACGGGTCGCTCACAGCAACCAATCAGTGATCCTTTAGATTAAACAAGGTATCTGACTGCCATGGCTTCATTTTGTGTTTTTTCTTCCCTTAGACAGATTGCACAGATCAGCAGCTCACCGGGCATATGAATTACGGTGTCCTTTGCATGGCTGGGAGGATCCTCCAATTCTTCCTTAGTGTTTCCTATCTCACCATAGTAAAGGGCAATTCCTAATTGCATTATGCGAATGAACATCGGGAGTTGCTGGTCGGTAAGGGAAAGTTTCAGACTGTCCACCATTGTGTGAATCTAAAACAGAAAAAAAAGATGGAGAATTCAGTTCTACAAAGGACACACATGCCACCCAAACTTAAAGGAACCTGTCAGCATACATATATGAATGTTTTCCATTTTTTTATTTTATTTAAAGTTTACTTAAACCCCAACAACGAACTCTTCTTACTTGCTTCCTTTTTGGTATGTTAAAAAAGAACTCAGGGCATAAATATTCTTAACTCTTGCTACCCTCACAATGCAAGGGTTACGTGCTCATTTTCATCTAGGGCTGGGAAAAAAAAAAAGAAGGATACGCTCACTTGAACCTCAGAGCTGGCTGGCTGGCTGTTAGACCGATCCCTGCAGCATGTCTCCTCCTCCGCTCCAATGATGGTATGTGCCTCGCCGCCCCCCATGTCCAATACACTGTATACAACATGAAGACTCACAGGACCTTAGA